TCGGCATGTGTGACCGATGCGCACTAGACCTGTGGGTAGGTGCCTTAGGCGCGGTTGGTGGCTGGGAAACTGAGTGCCCCTCTTCCTCGTTCTGATTACTCAGTTGAGGGGGTTGATCAGAAGGGCGGCGAGGAAGCTGGGCGCGAATGCGCTCATTCTCAGCAAGCAGTGCCGCTAGGTCGGTTTCGTGCTGGGCATGAATGTTATCCATGTCGGCTGCGTGTTGCTGCTGCATTTGGTTGACCTGTTCGATCAGTCTTCTCAGCGCCGCTTCACTGTCCATTCTAGTCGTGCGATCTAGGTCATCTGTTGCTCGTCTACTATGACTTCGGGTGAAAACCATAAGTGTGGTCAATAAGAGCTGTCTTGATCAGCCCCACGGTGGGCACCAAATGTTCTTACCAGAGATCGGTTGTAGGGACGATCTGCTGGGCAAGATCGGTGAGCCTCCTTCGCTGGGTACGGTTGCTGTTCCAAGTGGGAGTGGTACCTACAAAAGAGACTCTGATGCTAAAGTTAGTGTTTGTGGGTGTATAAGTCTCGTATAAGTAATGCACGTACCTTTGTGTGAATTAGGGTTTCATTGGGCTTTGGGCCTGAGATCAATTATGACCTATTTGGATTAATCTAATTTAATTTTTATTTATCACAATTTTTTATGAATTAATTTTATTATTTTTAAAATAAATTATAAATAAAAAAATTATCCATAAATACATCTGTCGGTAATAACATCGGTAATTTTGTGGGTATTGTTAATAATATTTTTAAAAAATCATTTTAAAATTGTACTAAATAACAATCTTGTTTTATTAAAAACAATATAGCTCAAAATTGGTAAAATTATTATAAATATTAACAAATTATCTTTTAAATTTAGATTATCATGCATCAATATCATTTCACTAATTATATATTTATCAATTTAAATAAAATTAACTATATAACATAGAAATATATTGATAATATGTGGGAAATATCTGTCTGAAATATCATAATTTTGCCACGAAAAAAATCTGTGGGTAAAATTCATCTGAAATTATAAACGAAAAAAATCTGTGGGTAACATCTATATGAAATTACAGAAGGAAAAAATTTGTGAGTAATATCCTTCGAAATCGTTTATATTTCAGACGAACACATATCCGTCAGAAAAATTTGTCGGTAATGTCATTTTTCAGACGGATATTTATCCGTGGGAAAATGTCCATCTGTAATGAGTGTTTTTTTGTAGTTTAATACTCAACGTCTTCTAATATAAATGTAGCCAATGATTGTCAAAAATATGACCCAACAACACCAATGTCTCGTCCAATAGGTCAAAAAGCAGCGAAAAGAAATAGTAAAGCAACGGTTGACGAAAAATCTTCTGACAAAAAAGAGTTGGATAATATGGCAAAAGCAATGTTAGAAAGAAGTATTGCAATAAAGAAATTGGCTGAAGCGAAGGAGGCGGCTAACTTTAGTGCAATGTATGGCATTCTCATGAAGGACACACTTGGAATGACTAAGAAGCAACTCAAAGATCATGAATTGGCTTGTAATTTTATTAGGCGCAAATTAGAAGAATAAATATTATTGTAATTTTAATTATCGCAAATTAGACTAGTTTTATTATAATTTAATTTAATTTGTTGTAACTTTATTTCTCATTTATGCTTATGAAACTAGCCGTTATAAACTAGTTGTTATGAAACTAGCATTTATAAACTAGCCGTTATGAAACTAGCCGTTATGAAACTAGCCGTTATAAACTAGCTGTTATAAAACTAGCTGTTATAAACTAGCCGGTATGAAACTAGCCGTTGCAAACTAGCCATTTTTTATGACACTATATAATTGATACACATTTGTTGCATCTCATTATCAAAACCTACTTGTCTTATTTGTCTCAAAATCTATTTGTTGCTTCCTATTTTCTCTAAAGTAGACACTTTAGTTTTCCACAAAATGGATTTCGACAAAGACTTTGATGCTTTGTTTGAGCAAGTTATAGATGAGGAACTTGAAGATAACACCGACGAATATTTAATGAGAATAGCACTTGAGATGCAACAACAATCTGACAACACTACTCGTCGAAGGAAAAAAAGATTGATGATTGATCGATGTCGTGAAGAAGGGCACAATCGATTGTTCAATGATTACTTCTCTGAGAATTCAATTTACACATATGCTCAATTTCGACGAAGATTTCGAATGCAAAGGCATGTGTCCCTTAGAATTGTAGAAGCCCTTGGTCATTATGATGATTATTTCCAGATGAGGGTTGATGCAACTCGAAAGAAGGGTCTTTCACCATTACAAAAATGCACAACTGCAATTCGTATATTAGCATATGGATCAAGTGCTGATAGTACAGATGATTACATTCGAATTGGTGAAAGCACTGCTGTGGAATGCTTAGAGAGATTTGTATCCGGTGTGTGCAACATATTCAGAGCTGAATACCTTAGGAGGCCTAACAATGAAGATGTTGAACGACTACTTCAAATGGGGAATGCACGTAGCTTTCCAGGTATGTTAGGGTCTATTGATTGTATGCATTGGGAATGGAAAAATTGTCCAGTTGCTTGGAAAGGAAATTTTTGTCAAGGTGATCACAGCAAACCCACAATTATGCTTGAAGCTGTAGCTTCACAAGACTTGTGGATTTGGCATGCTTTTTTTGGCACGATAGGTTCAAATAATGACATTAATATGTTGAATGCTTCGAATGTGTTTAATGACGTTTTGTTAGGACAAGCTCCTGCTGTACAATACATAGTGAATAGAACCCAATATAATATGGGTTATTATCTTGCTGATGGTATTTATCCAGAGTGGGCTACATTTCTGAAGACTATCCCTATGCCACAAGGAGAAAAGATGAAATTATTTGTCAAACAACAAGAATCGGCAAGAAAAGATGTAGAGCGAGCATTTGGAGTATTGCAATCTCGATTTGCAATTGTGCGTGGACCAACACGTGCTTGGCGTGTTGATACATTGAAGAATATCATGCATGCATGTAGGGGTGAGCAACGGGTGGGTTTGGTCGGGTTCGGGTGAAAAATGTCCAACCCGTTGTAAACCGGCTTTGAAAAAATGTGACCCATATCCGACCGACTGAGCTTTCGATTTGAGGCGGTTCGGGTTGAAACGGATTCGGATTTAAGCGGGTGGGTATAATCGGGTTACAATTTTTTTGTAGACCAATTTATCTTAACAAAGATGAAGCTTAAAACGATAAAAAATATTTTTAAAATAGTGTATAAAAATAGAATGAAGGTGACAATAGATGGTGTAAATAGATTCGTAGTTGAAACATTTACAAACTAAAGAAGCAAAAATAAAAGATAACAAAATTCATAGTTGTTACATGGAAAAGAAATATAAAGTTAGATTACAAAACCATAAGAAATCACAGTCACACAAAATGTACTCAAAATGGAGATAAGAAGATGGAAAAGAAAGACAAAGAAAGAAGCAAAAAGATAACTCTAAAAATGGACTAGTGTGTTGAGAAGTTGAATGAGGAAGGAGAAGACAAAATAAATATCTAAGTTATGAGAAAAAGGAAAAAAATAAGTTACAAATTGATGGCTATATTATACTTGAAATAAAGACTTTTAAATTTGGACCATTGTTGTTTAGTTATACAAAAGTAATAAAAATTTAAACTTATCTCATTTTCGGTTGGGTTCGGTTTTTAGCGGGTTTAAAAATTCAAAACCGAACCCGCCCAATATAACCCGTATAAAATCAAAATTTTAACCCGATTTACCCATAAGACCCGCCCGAACCCACCCAAAAGCAATATTTTTTTTCGGGTTTTTCGGGTTCGGTTCGGGTGTCGGTTTAATGCTCACCCCTACATGCATGTATCATACTACATAACATGATAGTTGAAGATGAGAGACACACATACAATATTAATTTTGATTATGATAATAGTAGTAACGAAGTCTTGACTTCCGATGTATCTATTGGTCCTCATCCTATTTTTACTACAACATACTTACAAAGGAGGGCACATCTTCATGATAGACAGCAACACCGACAACTACAACACGACTTGGTAGAACATATTTGGGGACGTTTTGGACATCATAATAACGAAAATTAGTGCGTATTTATTGTTATAAATAATTTATCGTTACAAACAATTTATCGTGCATTTATAGTATTATGTAATTTCTTAGTTTTTATATTTAATTTTGTTGTAATTTTTTGTAATTCATTTTATTATGTAATTTCTTTTTATTATTGTATTTTTTTATTATGTAATTTCTTTTATTTGTTATTCATATTTATATATTATCCATAATAATTAATTTTTTAAAAATTTATCATAAAGTGTAGTGTGAATTGTTAAAAAGTATAATTAAATTGTAAAAAAGTGAAGGTGCTTATAAACAATTTCTATTAAAATAAAAATTATAAAAATATAATATAAATTATTTATAAGTGACGTAACACAGTGAGACCTATTACTTCCATGCTAGATGCTCTAAGAGCAACTCTAATGGGAGTTGTTTGTCCTATAAAACAACTCAAGCCCCGGTTTCTTATCATTGGAGGACTCTGACGTGGCAACATGAGTTGTTTGAAGAAGAGAGAAAGTTGTTTCTTTAAGCAACCATTCCTTACCAGATTTCAAGCAAATCTTATTGAACATATTTGGGAACGTTTCAGAAATAATAATGATGAAAATTAATTTTGTATAATGTCTATGTATTTATTATTATTTTATTTTATTTTTAATATCTACTTCTTGTGTATTTTTTTTCGTAATTTATTTTCTTTCATTGTAGTGCAATTACCTTTTTTAATAAAAATTTAAAATTGATTCATAAATGACTAGAAAAAAAATTCTAAAAATTAAATTTTTTAAAGTTTTTTATCATTAGAATAAATTTGTGTTTGAGTTAATACTAACATGACACATTCAGAATCACTTTTTTTATTTTTTAATACATGAAATAACTCAAATGAATGACATTCCCTAACAAGCTTCGTATCTTAAAAGATGCAACTTTTATAGAACTGAGGGCTGCGTACATGGTTCTTGTGTTCCCGTCTGTTGCGTCAGAGAGAGTCACTTCCAGAAATGGTTAAACTCGCGGGACTTAGGCACAAACGATGGTTGATAGCATCGTCTTTCTCCACGCGCGTGACTGTAGGAACTCACGACGGAACCTTCCACTGCGACGAAGCCCTCGCCTGCTCCCTGCTTCGCCTCTCCAAACGCTTCTCCGCCGCTCACATCGTCCGAACCAGAGACCCCAACCTTCTCCAATCACTCCACGCACTCGTCGACGTTGGAGGCCTCTACGATCCCCTTCGCCACTAAGCTCAGCAGCGCTGGCCTTGTCTACAAGGTCCTTGCACTTTCCACTTTTCCCCTTTTCCCCTTTTCCTTTCGCTGCTTATTTATTTCATAACCTAACTCATTACTCCTTCCCATTCCTCTAGCATTTTGGATTGGAGATAATCGCAAACGTGCTTGGGCTTCACCAAGCCCATTCTCACGTGCGCCACTTGTATCCCGTTATATACAGAAACTTCGTTGAGGCGATTGATGCTGCGGATAACGGAGTGAATCAGTATGACCTAGATTTCCCTCCAAAATATGAAGTTAACACGACTCTGTCTTCTAGAATAAAACGCTTGAATTTGAACTGGATGGACTCTGACCACTCACCTCAAAGAGAAAACCAGGCTTTTCGTCAAGCCATGAAGTTAGCTGGAGCTGAGTTTTTGGAGAATGTCAAGTATTTTGCAAAGTCATGGTTACCGGCGCGGACGATTGTTGTCGAGAGTCTTGCAGCGAGGGAAAGTGTTGATTTGAGTGGACAAATCATCAAGCTTAACCGGTCTTGTCCTGTAAGACACAACCCACAGGGCATTTAATTAATCTCACAGGTTTTTAGTGATTACTGTAAGGGTAAATTACTAGATTTGCAGGTTTTGAATATCATTGTGACTGTTACCTAAAACCTTTTATTGCTTTGCAGTGGAAACTTCACATACATGAGCTTGAGGAGGAAATGGAAATCAATCCTTCTATCAAATATGTTCTTTACCCGGTATGTATGTTTAACTTAATTAAGGTGTGTTTGGATAACTTTCAATAGAAACACTTCTAAGAGAATAAAATTAATGAAATCGAAATAATTTTGCTATAAATTAAAATTAGTTTATACACAAATTAAAAGTAAGATTTTAGAGAAGTTAATAGGAAAGAGTATCTACAAATTAGATTATGCATAAACTAATTTTAATTTATGAAAAAATATATCATTTTTTTTTCTAGAAGTGTTTTTAGAGAAATTGATTCAAATAGACCATTACATTTCAAATTGAGTATGTGTATATATAATTGTTGCCCCGCTCCCCCCAAAAAGAAACCTGTATAGTGGTTTACATTGCAGGCATCATGTCCAACTTGTAAATCTTGGGATATATATGGGATATATAATGTGTTTTACTATATGACCGATAAATTATGTAATAGATGATTACTGTTTGTAGGATGATAGAAGTGAGAATTGGCGACTGCAGGCAGTGGCAATTTCGCCTGCTAGATTTGAGAGCAGAAAACCGTTACCATTTCTGTGGAGGGGTTTGGAAAATGATAAGCTCTCTGAGGTTGCTGGAATCCCAGGTTGTACTTTTGTGCACATGAGTGGTTTTATTGGAGGAAATCGAAGTTATGACGGCGCTGTAGCCATGGCAAGAGCTTCTTTAAAGGCTTAGGCAATGGTAGGTTTAAAGTTTAAATCAATACCTTTTTTCCCAAACTTTCTTTTTGGCCTCAGGCATAATTAAATATCTTAAGGAATCGAAAATGTTTGAACACAAAACTTGGTTTTTTCGTTGAAGCAATATGCATCAGCTGTTCAGAAACATGGTTTATGCGTGGTGCTAAATCTCAAAATGCTAATAACACACTGCTGATAAATTGAGCCTTTCCAGTTTATGCTAGGGATGCGGTCTTTAGAGAATGTAACATGATATTTTAGTTGTCAATTCTTGCATACTGATTTTCTGCACTAGCTCAATAATGACATTTCAATTTGTTGGTTTCTGTTCTTCATATGCATTTATTAACATTCTCATTATGGTCAAAACTAGGTCTAGGCTTCACTTCATGTACATTCTTGACACTAAATTCATTCCTCTGAAACACTTGGCAGATCCTCTTTAAACCATGAGTAAAGACCACCTTCAAGATGGAAGACATTGGTATAACCATTAAGGACCAGCAAGTAAGCTGCTATGAGAGACCTGTTAAAGTATCAAGATGTGACCATTAGAGCAAAATATCAATCATTTGAAGAGTCGATGGTAACATAATCACAAGTCATACAAGAAGTGATATGCAACATATAGACTACAGCCGTAAGAAGATGATATATTGCAGACAATCATATAGCTTCCTTGATCTTACATCCATGCAATCCAAGTTATTAGCTGCAACTTACATTTTGTATTTTAGCCGTTGAAGAACTTATTTGGGATTGAGAGCTAATTGCTAATTGTGGTTGGATTTGACTTGCTTCTTGTCAACCATTCGTGTTGTTTTTCTTACTTTTAAACATATAATAGCTTGATAGAATGGCTTACAGTGATATAAATCTCATTACTCTGCCTACTAAGTTTTAATCTCTGAATCCGAGGCTGGATGCACTGTCCAAACGCATCTAAAAGGATCGCCTCAATTGCCATGCAAAATGGATACATTTCACAAAATGTCTTAAACCAATTTGGACTATTTATTCTATTAGCAAAAGGTAAAAATCCAGAGAGAATAAAATAGGGAATTAGCCATAAGAAATTCAAAATAATCAATACCTTGATTGTTGACCTTCGGGCAGATTTTGTGTTGGTTTCATAGTACCTCCCGCCGAGCAAGCTACTATTATCTTTGCCTTTTTATCTAATTTTGCTTCAACAGCTGCCAGCATGAATTAAATATTTTGTTTCAGAAAACAAGAAATGCAAGAATTCAAGCAATGCATAACGAGGTAAATTTATCGTACTCTGAATGAACTCAGGGTTCTCTTCAGTCCCGGCAAAAATACCAAAAAATGCAAATGCAGCCCGTCTGGCAATGTCCCATGCTGTCCACTCTTTTATAAGCCTATATATTTGCACATTGATAGCATCTGGAGGATGGGCCTACACTAATAGCCAAACTTATCAATTTTATCCTTTGTACCCCAATATATAACCACTCATGGAAATCAGAAACACCAGATAGACCCAAAAATGCATCATAAATGTGCAGGCACGTTGAAGTTGGAATAAAAGGCTTCTAAAATTTGTTAACTAACCTCTTTGAACTCTGCTTCTGGCCTTACGTCGAGAATCACAAAATTATTTTCCTTCTGAAGGCGCAGAGCTTCCTTTGCATCCACACTTCTTACCTGCAATATCATAATCATACACCTTTTAACATTTACTCTGCATATAAAACAAACAACATATCACATACCCTTAATTCCACACATAGATTTAGAGGTACGATTTATTATTAATTATAGCCTGTGTGACTAGATAGTCTGGTTGTCCCTTTATTAATTTTTGTGTACCCAAGATGCATATTATGATACAAAAGACATTTCAAGCTTATGTTACCTTAAATTTTACACGTTTTGCATTTATTTCAAATTTCTTTGTACTCACTTTATCATGAAGTGCTAAGAATGCAAATTACAATGTACTTGTTTGTGCATTCAAGAGAGAGTATGTATGACAAACAGGTGAATCTTTACCCTTTTTTCCAGCAGATACTCTCTCTTAATCTTCCAGTCTTCTTCAGCTAAGGGAAGTTAAAAAAGAAAAAGAGCTATTAAGTTTCTATAATGTCTTCAAAATGCCATGGCAATTGAATTCAGTAAGAGTAACTAAGAACAAATACCTGGCGACTTTGCTGGTTTCGTGGCTGCACCCTGGATTGTTAAGCCTCTTGTGATATTCTGTTGGAGTGATCTTTTTCCCGTGGATTTGTATGATCTCACTCTCCCCCACCATGAGTTATGATCGCGTGTGGCTTCTAAAGAAGGTACCAAAGAATGCAAAGATGGTGTAGATGAGTACTGTGGAGCAATTGATGTAAAAGCCATGCTTGGAAGCTCAGTTTCAATCAGATGGAAGATTTCAAATTTTCTTAGTTAATGGTCAATATTGAATAGTTGAAGATCTTGGGATCAACCTACATCCTTCTGATATCTAGTGTACTTAGGGTAGTTTGTGTGAGAAGAGTATTGTGGATATTTAGGGTCAGAATCTGAGATTGTGGTTGAGATTTTACGAGTCCTGTACTATTTGGATATCCTTCGTTGTCATCATTTTGTCTTTCCGCATGTATTAGTTGCTATTTTTATCATATTTTGTAAGCTGTTGAATATGAGCTGCTTTATGTTACCAAAAATATCTAAAACTGTTGGTGCAGTTATTTTTTTATCCAAAAAAAAAAGCAAATATATTTTTCTCAGAATGTATTATTATATATTATTTAAATTATAATATACTATATATGAGTTTATTTATATAAATAAAAAAAAGATAATAAATTAAAGCGCAAGACTTTTTATTTTGAACCTTGGTATAAAACATGAATAAAAAATTGATTATATTTACAATTTTGATACCCTTGATCCGCATAGTAGTCCTCTATGTCTAATATAGCGGTGTTTAAAAAAAATCCAAACACCTAAAAGGGCATTTGAAATCTTAATTGAAAACATAAAAATAATTATTATAAAGAAACATAATTCATCATTAAAAAATCAATAAGAACCCCTAAAATTAGAATATGTTCTTGAATGCAATTCTTTATTGCAACTTTTAAACAAAAATGAAAATCACAAGAAAATGTATTAGTACTAGTATTACTGTATTAGTACTTTATGAGAAAAGTACAAGGAGAATTTAGGCTTTGATTGTGTGTGCCAGCATAAGAGCAACAAAGTCAACTAATGTTAAAAAGGAATCAATGAGCAAGATGGAAGCAAGCTTTGTTTGTCATGGAAAAAGAGGGAGATACAAGTGGCGTATGAAATAAAAAAAAAATGTTTCTAATAGCCTTAAAAACAGTGAAAAAATGCAAATAAGAAGAAAAAAAACTACACCAAATAAATGTTACCTTTTTTTTTTCAATAAATGCAAATAAGCATTGCAAAAAATAAAAATAAAAAAGAAAAGCCATAAAAATAATTAACAACAAAACATTTAAGAGGTCGAATTAGGATTTGATCATGCTAAAAATTAACTGATTAAGGTTCATGTTATAAAAAAACACAATTGGAATAATTTTTCAGTTCAATATACAAAACGAACTAAGAACAAAGTCCCTGCCTAGCTGGTGGCTTTGCTGGTTCTATGGCAACAATATGGGCTTGTAGAAAGCCCATTGGATACTCTGAACTACTATTTGTAGGATCACACTATCTCCTCAATGAATTAAGATAAACTAAAGCCACGGTATGCAAATCAACTCTACATATTAAATAGATCGTTTTTTTTATTTTTTATTTTCAAGACATGTTTTAAGAAATTTTTATTCAATTTTATTTTTGAGAGAATTTAAAATTCAACTATTTTAAGAGATTTTATAAATTCTTCAATTTCAAATTTCTAGTAAATTCACTATTCAAACAAAACATTTTACTCAAAGCTTTTGAAATTCTTAAAAATAAATGAATTACTACATTAAAATCTTCCATTCAAACACAACTTCTTATCTAATTTGATGTTCATTTATCATAATTATTTATGAATCAAATTTAACAATTTTAAAATAAATTATTGATAAATAAAAATAATCTTATACTACAATTTAAATTATTTATTATAAATTTAAAATATAATTTATATGTTTAAAAATTTATATAAATTTTAAATATAATTTATATATTCTTATATGATATTTATTTGTATATATAATTTATTATAAATTTTAGACATATAATAAAAATTAAATCTGCTAAAATTTTAGTTAGAATGTTAAAAAATAAATAAATAATAATAATAGCACTGTAGCATATGTTGCACGAAAGCATGTATCAAATTGTTAGAGAAAATCATATACCTTTTAATCTGTCTGGTTGTGTTTCGCCTCTAATGAAGGACACGGTTATAGGTTCAATGTATTTTTTTTATTTTTTTTTGTTCGTTCCTGGAGTATTCACGAGAGTGGGATAGCTGGCCCCAAGATTTAACGCGGTTGCATACACAAGACAGATTTGAATCCTTGACCTTGCTTAAGCATGGATCAATCCCTACCGCTGAACTACACGCTTGGATTAGTTCAATGTATTATATATATCATGAGAACCAACCAATATAATAATATCTTCGAGAACATGTTATTAACATTCACTTGTCAATTTCATAACCTCAGTTTAGAATTGTTTATTTAATTTGTAGAGCACAAGACAAGATACATAAAATTGGGTATTGGAAGAGGTTGGCACGAAAGGTATTAAGAAAAAAGTGGGTGGTAATGTTAGTGATAGTGAATGTGAGTCGTGCACAAACGTTGGTGTCAAGTATAAGTTCACTTTGTTCGCGGAAGAAAACAAGGTTCAATCATGTGTGCCTAATGTCAATGTCTGCCATGAATCCTGATCATGACATGCTAAGCAGTCATGCATAGATATGCACATAGATTCCAATCAAATTGGTACCTTACCGACATTCTATAATAATTTTATTCATTTATTAGTTTCTCACTATCTTATCTATCTTACTACCTACCCACCCACTTGGTCAAGACTCAAGACTAGGAGAATAAAGAGATCTTCACTCTTATAAATACCATGCATAAATGAATATTAAAAAAAACAATAGTATTTAATTAAAACATACATGATCAACTCCATTCTTGTTCATAAAGAAGAACATTTCTGCTATCTATATTTAACCCATAAAGGTTATGTAGCTAAGATATGGAGAATTAATTATATATTCTATCAAATTCATTATGCATGTTTTGAAAGAAAAAAAAAATTGTGAATATTTTAAGTTTCGTATACATTCACAGACTTTTACAATATTAAGAATAAACAATAATAATCCTTTTCAGAATTGAGAAATTTATGTACATAATAATTATACGAAATTTAAATTAAGTTCATAAGTTGGCCCTTAACGAACTAGCCTAACAAGTTTATTCTTCTTATATAATTTTTTTTTCTCATTTTGGGAGTTGAAATTTAAGTTATAGCTCCAACAAGAAAATGCAGTTGGCCTTGGTTGGTTTTCTTTAATACAACTTACCAGAACTCGTGTCTCTTCTTCTCGTTGACCTTGTTGAACCAATAGAAAAATTCCATCAAATCTCAAAAGTTAGAATTGAACATCGTGCTTCCGTTAAACGAGCATGATTGATTGATTTTTAGTTTTTTTTTTTTTGTTTATTGCTGAAAAACACTTTGAACATATAGTCATATTTTCTAATAACTCTTCCCAATTAGTAGGCAGTTTTCCATTATTTGTAGGAACATTGATTATCTATATGCGAGTTTATAACACCAATAGGGCATTGGGTAAGGTATTTTCGCATTATATTTAAGAATCACAAATTGTATAAGGTTCAAATGAAAAATGCAAGTTTAGAGCATCACAATGGAATATCTTAAACTTAAGATACCGTATTTTAATTTTTCTTTTTCAATAGAGACAACCTAAATCATAATTAACATGAATTGTTTAATTTTTTGCATCATATAATTAAGATACTTACAATTGTTTAACTTTGTTTTCCAACCATCAAACAAAATTATGTACAAATTAAAAAAAATTATAAAAAGAAGAGTATCTTATGACTTGTTTAAAATTAATTTTACCATTAAAATGAAAGTATATGAGGTGATAATATGAAACATAAGATACATATATAAAATATACCCATCCTCTTAATAATCAAATGCATTACAAATTTTGAGATTTTGACGCAAAATATGTTCACAGCTTTAATATAAGGTACATATACTTTGGGCAAAACCGATGAGTTTGTTTCTCTAAGAGCAATTTTGATATTTATCCATCTCATGACTCACGTCCCAACTGAAGCAAAAAATTGGACGCCACATTAAACACACACGAAGTTTTGTAAATGATAGTAAATGTTTTTCTTTACTATAAAATCAAACAAATCTCCTCGCTACGTTAGAGGCACCTCAAAGGGTGGGATAGCTAACTCCAAGATTTAACGCAGCTGCATACAGCAGACAGGATTCGAACCCTTGACCTTGCTTAGGCGTGGATCAACTCCTACCGCTGAATCACACGCTTGAAGTTATAGTCTTTTGTTTTGAATATGAGAAATCAATTAAAAAGAGAAAAATAAATTTCAATTAAAGGGAATTTTGAAGAAAAATATATATTTATTCAACTCTTCAATATGTACCTGAATTAAATATTTAGATGAAGGCTATGTCAGTTATAATAATCTTATTTAGTCAACGCAAAATTGTCTTTCATGGATGTTATACACGGTCTCGTAACAAATCATTTTCCTTATATTTTTAACTAAGTATTTAAAATTTAAAGTTCAAATACAAGATTAAAGAAGGATTGTCGGCATATATTTACTTCATGCATGAATGTTTTGAAAAAGAAAAAAAAAAGGACAAACCTAATAATTCCCATGTGATTTTTATAATATTAGAAAGGTGATTTGACAGCGTACTCATAGTGATTGTGTTTTAACTTTTGATATTTGATTTTCTAATACGTATAGTGAGAATTCATCAAGTTATTTTAGTACTATAAGAGGAGTTTTGGCGAAATTTTTTCTTTTAATAACTCTTTATATAGTATACTTTGATTATTTATTTGTTAAACTAACAATTTTAGTAAATAAATTAAGCTTAAAATTTTTTAAAATTAAATTATTTAATATTTTATTGAATAAAATTAATTTAAAATAAAAATATAAACAAATGTTAATTATATGATTACTTAATGACACATATAAAATCCGAAGTATAACATTTATCTAGGTAGCTAAGTAAGTGATGAATGTCTCTTACTAGAGATTCAATTAACCTTGAGGAGAGGTGATATATATAACCTTGGACATTAAGATATGTTGACTAACTTAAGACTTGAGGAGATGAAATTATTTTTGAAAACTAAAGATCCCGCATAGGAAATCTTTGAGTGGTGCTTGGGGTAGTTTATTGTTGAAAAAACCTTCTTGAATAGGTGTGTCTCTTAGGGTAGGTTTTGAGGTGTGTTGAGTCTCCTCTAAATCCTTAGTTAGTGGTAGTAAAGTAGGAGGTTGAGAGCTACAACCCTTAATCAAGT